TTCCTTGGAGCCGATGTTAGGGAGGAATCCACAGAATGAGGAACTTTTAAAGGAAATAATTCACACATTTTGAAATTGTGGTTTCCTTTTAATTAAAAAAAAATCTGTCTCTAGGCATTAAACAAAGTAATTCCCCAGAGGGAAATCCAAAGATAAACCTTAAAAACACACCTTATCCGAGCTATTCCACAGCTTTAGTGGTCCCTGCAGCTTTGAAGGAAGTTCATTTCTCAGTAGGGACGGAGCCTATTTGCTTTTCCATATTTCTTTTGTTATTTTTCCCTCTTTTTGTCTGAAGGAGCATCCCCCTTTCATCTGGGTTTTTCCTCTCCATGACTAGGGTCTTTGGAAGGGACTGCAGAGGCCAGCAGGCCTTGCTTGGTTAGACGGGCCTTGCGTAAAAAATAATGTGACTTCAGGGCTATTTGGGAGTATGTGTCCACATAGTGCTCCTAAATGGTGCTTCTGAGCCAGGCATGGTGGTGCACGCCTGTGATCCCAGCACTCGGGAGGCTGAGGCAGGAGGAATAAATATAAGCTTCTCATTCAAAAAGCCAATAATAGCTGGGCGTGGTGGTGTACTCCTGTGATCCTAGCACTTGGGAGGCTGAGGCAGGAGGATTGTTGCGAGTTCCAGACCAGCCTGGGCTACAAAGTGAGCTCAAGACGAGCCTAAATTGCGTAGGGAGACCCTGTCTCAAAGAGACAAAAAAAAAAAAAAGGTGCTTCTGATCTGTGCATTTAAAATAATGTTGAAGTATTATAATTTTACTGCAGTTGTGATAGATGACTTCAACCTTTGCAAACAGTATGTAAATACTTTTAAAAGTGATCAATGTGGCTGGATATGGTAGGACATGTCTATAACTCCAGCTACTTAGAGGCTGAGGCAGGAAGCTCACAAGTTTGAAACCAGCCTGGGTAGCATAGTGAGACTGTCTTTAAAAAGGGGGTTGGGGTGGGACTGGAGATGTAGCTCAGTGGTGGAGCACTTGCCTGGCATGCGTGGGGCCTGGGTTCAATCCCCACTATGGCAGTAGAAGGGCGGGGCTGGTGTGTGTTGTGCTCCTGGTGGTACTGTGAAGTGACAGAGCCCTGCAGAGGACAGCGAGGCAGTCGGTAGTTGCACTTAACTAAACAAGGGGAGTTGAAAGGATTTGAGGCAGTCAAGATACACTGGGGTAGAAGTTAAGATGCAGGATATCTCCCAGCGCTGTAGGCAGCACCGTAAACTGGTGCTCCTTCACCTGGAAACTGGCCAAATAAACTCCTGCTTCCAGCAGCACTTAGAGCAAGCGAGCTGTCTTCACTAAGATGGAAAGGTTTGCAAGGCATACTGGGAATGGTAATGCTATGTCTCACACATATACGTAATGTATTTATGTGAATACATAGAAAAAGACTTAAAGACTGAGCTTAGTGGTTACCTCTGGGAAAGAGCTCTGTAATAATCCTTTCTTCCGCAAGGAGCGCATGTTCATACGTATGCAGAGAGAAAGGTGAAGTGCCTATGGTGTATCAGTTTCTTTTTTTTCTCCTTTCCCTTTTCCATCGCCTTTTCTTCCCTCTGCTTCTATATTTAACAAAAAGAAGCCAAATTTAAACCACACAATGGGCCGTGTGTGTACAGTCTGTGATACAGTTCACCATTTGTAGATACCTTCTGAGGCGGTAAGCCGGGTTCAGAACGTGGTTGGTGCACTGGGGCTGAAAGTCAGTTTGGTGTAGTGGAAGGAACTTGCTGGCAGTGCTGGGTGACTGGGTGTCTCTGACCTTGGTCAACCCTGGACCCTAAATTATATCCCCTTGCAAAACAAGGGCTGGTTTTGGTGATTTCTCTTTCTCTCTCTGCCTGTCTCTTTTAGTACCAGGGATTGAATTTAGGACCTTTGCACTGAGCTACCTCTCTAGCCCTGTTTCAGATTGTTTGAGCCAGGGTCTCACTAAATCACTGAGTTACTCAGGTTGGGCTTGAACTTGTGACCTTCCTGCCTCAGTCCCCTGAACGCTGGGATTATAGGTATGCACCACCGTGCCTGGCTGAATCCCCTTCATTTTAACCCTTAAAGATCTCTGATTCTTTATGTGGTTGCATTGAAAATAAAGGCTGTGCTCAGGACGATGAAAAGAAACACCTGTTCACAGTGCTTACACCCTGGTCCTGACCCCTCCTGACCTGCGTGGGCAGATGCAGACTGGCTCTGTTTCAGGACTGAAGACCACTTGGGACATCTCAAACAGTTCATCAGTTCTCCCACCCGTAGTCACCAGTGGGTAGCGCATGGGGTCCCCGTGAGAAGACAAGGGTCCGCAGCAGAGTGGGCCACGTGGGGAAGGCCCCTTCCTGCAGGGTCACGCGGCCCGCCGGGGTTTCACCCTGGCTTTTAGTCAAAGGCGGCAACTTTGCTCCCGTCCCGTCCCCTCCCGCTCTCTTGCTTTGTTTCTCTTCACTTCGTTTATTCTCGCTGCCTTCAGTTGTTTCATTTCTCTCCCGCTTGGTCTTCCTCTCCTTTTAAGAAATTGTTACTCACAAGGTGTTTGTGGCTGGCTCGGGTTTGCTGGAGCGTTTCACTGAGCTGTGTGCCGGTGAGTCCTCAGGCGTGGGAAAGCCCTCTGCCCTGCGCTTGAGCCCTGCTCGGAGCCGGCCCTGTTTGTTCCTCTGCGGCATCCTTGCAGTGTCCAACACCGGTGACCAGTCCTTTCTTCTTCAAGCTGTCATGGTTTTACTTTCCAGACTTCCTCTGCTCACCTCTGAACGCTTCTTTTCTTCTTGAAGTCTTGTTTGTGGACCCCTCCTACCCACCCTCACTGGCACTGCTCATGTAGACGTAGCTGTTGTCTTTGCATTCTGCACACTTCTTCGCACACACAGACCTGGGGACGAGGACCGCCTCATTCCACAACTAGAGATGAGACTTAAAAGCCTGGATCTCTCTACCACTGCACCTGCTAGCATGGCCTTAGGTTGAAAACAGACTAAACACTGTGACGTGTTGGCGGGAGGAGGGCCCCTCCTGTACACTGGCGGTGATGCAGAGACGAGCAGTCCACTGTGGAGAGCAGGCCGCTGGTTCTCCCCGCGGTGAGTGGAGAAGGGCCAGTGCCTCAGTCTGTACGGGGTGATGACGGAAGTTTGGTTCGTGGGGTTCTGGAGGCACCCCAGATTGGTTTTCTGGTGAGGCTCCCCACCTCGTGGCTGTCTCTTGCCGGGTCCTCATGTGACCTAAGCTCCCTCGCACCTCTGTTCTTCTTTGCTTCTCTCCCAGACTTTTTTCCTAAGAGTGCTGATCCTGCGCGTGAGCGTTCTGACCTTACAACCTGGACACCTTGTTAAGGCCTTACCTCTAAATGCGAATCCACTGGTGGTTACCTTTTAACATATTACTTTGAAGGAGGCACACTCCGATCATAGCACCCATCTGCTAACAAATAAATGGATGCATAAAATGCAGTATATCTGCACAATGGAGTATTATTCAGTTGTGAAAGGGACTAAAGTATAATTAGTGCTACATCATGGATGAGCCTTAAAAACAGCATGCTAAGTGAAAGTACCTAGTTGCAAAAAGTCCTGTATTGTATGATTCCACTTATATGAGCCATCTAGAATAGGTAAACTCAAGACGGACCAGGGCAGATTAGCGGTTACCATGGGGTGAGGAAGGAGACAATGGGGAGTAATTACTTTGTGGGAATAGGATTTCTTTTGGGGTGAGGGAAACATTCTGGAATTGGATAGAGGTGCTGCTTGCACATTATGAATGTAAAACTGCCACTGAATTATATACTTTAAAGTGGTTAATTTGATGGTATGTGAGTTTTATCTTAATTTTAAAAATTCAGCAAGAAAAGTCTTGCTAGTTCTTTTTTTAAAAAAAACCCCAAATAATCAAATAATAAATGAGAAAAAGGAAGTGAGGTTCTAGAGTTTTGCTTTCTAGTAGAGCGGTCTCCTGCCACAGGTGGCGTTTGAGCACAGGAAGGTCGCTAGCCCGAGTGAGACTTGCGGGCTTGTGAAACTGCAGGGCTGTGCTCTGAACGAAAGCATGTAAGAGATCTCATTAGTGATATTTTTAATCTATCGCTCGCTTGCGTTGGAGTCTGCCTGAGTTCCCCAGCTGGCGTCGGACTCAGTCCGCCCGCTTCAGCCTCTCCCATAGCTGGGATTGGAGGGGAGGCCACCGTCCCGGCTGATGGCATTTCAGTGGTGACTGCATGTTCAAACAATGTTTTGAATATATTGCATTCGATAAGATGCATTATTAAAATTCTGAAAACTGCTGAATGCCTCCTGCAGACATAACAGAGAGGCTTAAATCTACATGAAGTGTAAAATAAAGTGATCTCATTTTAAAGCTGGGAGGAAACTTAGAAACCTAAAAACAGGCTTTGATTCAGGTGAGAAAGCTGACAAAGGGTGATTAAGGAGGAAAGAGGCTGGTCTTGCTGGCAGAAGATGGCTTGTCAGAAGCTGGAAAACATCTAGTCTTCGTCACCCCCTCATCCAACTGGTTCTGTGTTTGTTTTTGTTTTGTTTTGCTTACCTATTGCTTCCAGCCTTTTGGTTAAGATCAAGTGTGTTTTGCTTTACCATTATTTAGTATATGCCTTATCTTTGAAAAATGTAGGTGCAAGTAAATCAGAATGCTTTATAATTGATCTGTGGGAAGACCACTAGTTACGGCTTTTTGAACAAGAGAAAAGCCTGGGCTACTTTCACAGGGTACAGCGCTTGCCTCCCCCACCCAGGTCTGGTGAATTTACAGTTAAAGGAGGCAGCCAGGAGCTCCTTAAATGGTCACTAAGGAAGTTTTACGCTTTCCTGGTTATGTATTTGCCAGAAAACAAAAACAAAACCCGAAAGGGCAAGAGTTAAAAGAGGTCGAACAGCACGTAGGGCCACATTCATCTTAATTTGCGAAGGACACACTTGGAACGAGGTGCTCTGTTTTTTGCCCCTTTGCTTAATGGTCGTCTTTTCATTTCACGTTTCCCTCCAGATCAGCAACGTCCTGTTTTTCATTTTACCCCCCATCTGCATGTGCTTGTTCCGTCAGTACGCGGCATGCTTCAACAGCGGCATCTACCTAATCTGGACTCTCTTAGTGGTGGTGGGTAAGTGCATGCTGCGGACACAGACTGGAAGGGGGGCAGTGAGGTGGCGCACAGCTCTTGTCCCGGCTGAACATAACGTTTTGTAGACCACGGTTACTCCGACGTCTCAGCAAACAAAAAGAATGATGTACTTTCACTTACTCAAAGTCAAAAGGTTTCTTGAATGCCGGCCCGATAACAAGGCTGCTTGTATCTCTCACCACATAACTGCATTTGAGACTTTTATTGTGGCCTTGCCGTTTTTCTGAGACCATCTGAAGAAAGTAACTTTAAAAAAGGACTTTAAAAAATTAGATGTTTGGGTCCTCATTGCCTTCATTGTTCTGTGAAATACTTGTGTAATTTCCACTTCCTTCCCAGGCAGGTTGGAAATTCTTAGCAGTGAGATAATGTTGACTTGAGTTCACTGCCTGTTCCAGTGAAAGCTCAGTAGAGGAAGACAGAGTGTGCTTAGCTGTGGAATTGTTACAGTTCTGATGTGCTGATATTTGGGCCCTGCTTGGAAGCTTTCTGGGCCGGAGGTCTGCAGCCCTGAGTGGCGTGTTCCCTTCTTCAGTTTCTTTTTATTTTTTCAGAGAGAGAGAGAGTGGCTTGGTGATTCTGATAGCAGTTGGTAAAGGGCTGTCCTTCAGCAGTGTATTGAGTTTGTGGATCTGTTCTTCTGCGGTGACACTGTTTTATTGTTGTGATCTAATTGATTCTAGGAATTGGGTCTGTCTACTTCCACGCAACCCTTAGCTTCCTGGGCCAGATGTTGGATGAACTGGCAATCCTGTGGGTTCTGATGTGTGCCCTGGCCATGTGGTTCCCCAGAAGGTATCTGCCGAAGATCTTCCGGAACGACAGGTGAGTTTGTGCTGAGCACTTCTGTGTTCACCATTTGGTGCAGCACCCAGTTTACAGGGTGACATGAAGAAAAGCAGCACCAACCGCACACATCCTGGTGATGAGCTTGCTGTGTGCCTGCTTCGTGTCCACAGACCCTGTGATCTCATAGTATAATTGGACCGGCCTAACAGAAGAAATGGGAATAGCTTGGGGAAGCATTTCTATAATGGTAGGGACAAAAAGTCGAAGATGTGATTTGTTTGGTATGAACAAGAGTGGAAAGACTTTTGATGGGAGAGAAATGTCTGGATCATAGTTCAAAGACCTCTTTTTCCTGTTGAACGTTTCCTTGAGTACAATCCAGCTGTACCGGTTTTATATGTAGGAGGTAGAATTCTTCCCAGTTATTTGGTTCTTGGAGCTCTAGAGCTGGTTTTCAAATTGCATTTTTGTTTTTGTTTCTGATTATTCTCGCTCTCAGTGACACTCACGTGTATCTCCAAGCATTTTAGTATGTACTTTAATAGCCACGGTACTAGGGTTAACTGATTATTCATCTAGTAAATATTTTTGAGTACTTATTTTATATGCACTTTTGTAAACACTGGAATATAGCAATACACAAAACTGCGGAGTTTCCTCCTGTGCCGAAGTTGTGTAGCTTACAAATCAAACGGACGAGTGAATAATACAGTGTTAGAGGTGATAGCTGCTGCATTGGACAGGGAAGCCAGCAAGGGTTGAGCGGTGAGTGGGGCTGATCCGGAGTGCGGTCGGAGCAGGACCCTCGGAGGAGCTGTCTGAGGTGTGTTGGTGTCTGAAGGCAGAAGGAAGAGCTGCCTAATAAAAAGGAGAAATGGTTCTGGGACACGTTACCTACTTACTCTGCACAGGACACTGGGTTTTGTCAGAACATATATAGCAGATGCATAAGCAGCCTAAAACTGGATTCAACAAAGCAGGCTGTGTGTGCCCGAGGAAGAGTTACGCCAGGAAAGTAGAGGAATCCGTGAGGTGAGGAGAGTCTGTGAAAAATACCGATGCGCGTTCACACGCTAGAGCTGTGGGTGCGATGTCCTAGTTTTAGAATGAAAGCGTGAAACTCTCTTGGAGAATGTTCTTGTACAGCACAAACGTGCCTGGCAGGGCGAGGGCTCCGAACTGCAGCGCGTGGCTGATCTCCAGCACTGGTGTGGAGAGGAACCTGTACTTTTATCTTCAATCTGAACACCCCGGGATTTTTTTCAAGGAACACATACAGATTTTTTTTTATCCCCCCCACATACAGATTTTTAATACTAGTATTTTATTTTCAATCAATTTAGGAAGAAAGCATACTTCATGCAGACGAGCTATCCAGTCTTTGCCCTGGGAGGCAGCAGCTGAGTTGAACAGTATTACGTTCAGGAACAGTATTCCTGAGTATCATCGATCAGGCAGAAATGTGCTTTGGAATTACGTATTGTGGTGGTCTCATGACCCCCGTGGGAAGCCAAGACTCGGAGACTCCAAATTTGGGGAGCAAAGACGTTTATTCCAGGCCTGGCTGACGCAGACTCTTGGAATCGATCCCCAGAATGCGCGCCTCACAAGCTAAGCACATTGTATTTAAGCACAAAAACCACAAAGAAGGGGTGGTAATGGGGTGATAGTTAGTGGCAACTTCGGATTGGGGGATACAAGCTAAAGGTTGAGGTGGTTTTACATGATTGGTATAGGACAGCAGATCAAGCAGATGACGCATTTCTCTAGTGTACAAGGACAGCTAGTTTTTTTATTATGTCCTTTAAGGAAAATATTATCTTGGTCTAACACAACATGTTTATCAGCACAGCATAACAGTCAGGTCACAAAGACCCAAGAGAAATTCCACAGCATAACATGTTTATCATGGCTACTCAGGCGCATACAAAACAGCAATGTGGCGCAAGGTTATATAACACGTATCAAAAACGAAGATGAGGGCAGGCTCTGGTTTTTGATGAAATGTGGTTCATATCTTATTAAGACCTTTGATCAGCAGAGAAAGTGTGCTTTTCACGTTCACATCTGAAGTTTTGCCTGTTTGCTTTTGATCTTTTTTTTGTTTGTTTGTTTTCCGGTACCGGGAATCGAACTCACGATTTCGAGCTTGCCAGGCAGGCGCTGTGCCGCTGAGCTAAATCCCCAGCACCTGCTTTTGATCTTTTGATCCTAGGTTTTAAACCCAGGGCCTCATGCATGCTAACTAAGCACATGCTCTACCGATCCGCTATACTCCCAGCCTCAGAAAGAATAATAAAATGTGGCCAGGGTGTGTGTGTGTGCGTGTGTGTGTTTGAGGCAGGGTCTTCTATGTAGTCCAGGCTGGCCCACAATTCACTGTGGCTGAGGCGGGCCTAAAACTTGGAGTCCTAATACTTTCGCTACCAACAGGGCCGCTGCGCCTGGCTCTGGTGTCCAGACTTGTTCTTTGGTTCTCTTAGTCAACTTCAGGAGAATGTGGTAGATAATGTGAAGTGGAGAACACAGAGCTGGTGGGGCGGCGTGGGGGGAGTGATTTTGTAGGCAGGGACTTTTTGACTTCCTGAAGAACCATTTGTCTTTTGGCTTTTCCCGCCATCTCAGAAGGCAGAAAAGCCCCCTCCGTCCTTTCCCTTATCCTAGTGTATGTTCGGGTAAGAGCTGAGGAATCACTTTTCTCTTAGAACTCACCTTTCAAGTCCTGAGGCCAAGTAAGAAATTAGGAAATGGATTTTTTGTTAGTTGTTTGTGGCATTCTGGAGTCTTAGTTGAAACTCCAAGTGGCAGTTTTTATTGTGTTAATCCCAGGCCTTTTTCTTTTTCTTGTTTCATGGCGGTAGGGGTGGGGAGTGTTGTAGTGAACAGGAGAGAAGGAAAGGATGTGGGAGGTTAGACCAGCAGCTTGAACAGTGCAAACACGTTGTGAGGCAGAGTTGCCTGTGACCGTTCGGGACTTTCGTCATCGCACCCGCAGCGTTTCGCTGGGGAGGTGTGAAGCGGGACCACTCTGCCCGGCGTGGGTGGGGGCCTTCGGGAGCCCCCGCGCCGCCTGTGTGTGTCCCTGGCTCTGGAGCCTGTCTGCTTCAGTCCTAGCTTTACTGCTTGTCAGCTGTATAACTTGTCTTTATTTTTTCTGTTTCCACATCTGTAGATGTAGGCAACAAACAAAAGGACTCACATCCGTGTTCTTGGAGGTAGTGCTGCCGAGTGCTCGGAGCAGGCTGGGGGCCACGGCTGTGCTGTCATGCAGCTCTCGTTGCAGGCAGTGCTGCCGAGAAGGACGTTCTGCTCAGGGTCTCTGAGCCCGGTGTGCGCATGGAGGCACAGGACGGTCCGGGAGGACCTAACGAGCGGAGAGAGAACGGCGCTCGGCGGGACAGCGAGTGAGGGCGCCAGCTGTGGGTCCGTCTTCAGGCGCCCGGGGCTGGGAGGACACAGAGGCCAGAGTGCTGTGTGTGGGCTTTGCCTCCCACGCTGGGGCCCTGGAGGTTCTGCAGTGGGACAGGGAGGTCGGACCAAAGAATTTCCACCCAAATCAGGATTGCTGTGGGCCAGGGGTCATCTGGTTTAGCTGCATGAATTAACCCGAGAATTAACGTTTGTCTCCCTGCCTCCCGTATCTTACTGTGCGTGTGTGTGTGTGTGAGGTGTAGACATTGCTGGAATTTCTCTAGCACACATTAAGAATATGAATAGTTATTAAAAATACGGTATGTGTTTCAATAAAATATTTATTACGGTAAAAGACACGTTGGCATCAGTCCCCCTCGGAATACCTCTCGTTTTGAACACTCTTAGCCATCATTCTTGCTGCTGGCTCAAGCAGCCCTGGAGTCCTCCTTTGTGAGCATCTTTAACTGTGCTGTCGTGACCGGTTCTGTATCTTGCGTTGATTCAGAACACTTACCTTTCACGGTCATTTTAACTTCAGGAAGAGTGAGAAGCCACACGGTGCCAGACTCACCGAGCAAAGTGGATGCGGACACACCATAACGTTTTTATGGGCCTGCCTTTCACTGGATGGCACTGGGCAGTAGCAGTCACTGTATTTTTGGTCACACACTGTAAGGAGCTCTGAAAAGAGGACCGCCAGAACTGCTTTAGAAAGTGGCAAGAACGAGGGGGTGGGTTTGTTTGAAGCAGGGGGGAGTTGTGTTGTTTTTTTTTTTGAGACAGGGTCTCACTGTATAGTCCAGGCTGGTCTTGAACTCACTATGTAACTTAGGCTGGTCTCAAACTCACGGCGATCTTCCTGCCTCAGCCTCCTTATTGCTGGGATCACAGGTGAGTGCCACCTGGCAAGGGGAAGGATTTCGAAGGGGATTAATGGCCATGCGTCTTTTACTGTAATACACTTTACTTAAACACTTATGATATTTGTTGATCACCCTTGTAGTTTAGTGTGAGGCTTTTGGAGAAGAGATGGTAGGGTTTGGTGGCTGAGTGAGTATGGCTGACAGGCGTAGTTTTGAATCATAATTCACCGTTTTTCCTTTTAAAGTTCCAGGACCTCATATTGCTCATCTGTAAAATACAGTTAGTAAAGGTAACTACCTCATGGGATCTGGAACAAATGGGAAAATGAAATAAAGGGTATAGTACAGTGCCCCATACGGAGTAAGTACTCAATGCATGTGAGCAGTTCTTATGAAAGGCTTATCTGGACAGGTGGTTGGAAGATAAGGTTGTCTAGGACAGGAGGGAAATTATTAATGTTCGCAGTATTCACTGTGAAAGGAATTGGTGCGTTCAAAAAAGGACTTCCATCGGGAAAACTCGGGAATCTTCAGAAGATATATTCAGCTATTAATGGTTATTAATAATTTTCTGATATTTTTGTTTGGAGAAAACAGTAAGAACAGAGAATTTTTATAGGCTGATCAAATGTACTTTCTAAATAACTTATCCCAGTGTATATTTTTTATGATTTGCTGGTGCAGATTCTAGGGACCGCCCTCACATTTTAACCCACTCTTTGTTTTTAAATCCTGAACAGCAAGGGGGCAGGGTGGGGTCTGACCATCCTTCTCCCCCACTCGCCGGCTGAGCGGGGACCAGGCTCTTACGCTCTCTGAGCCTTAGTGCCTTCCATGTAAAGGACAGGGATGGACCAGCTCTCTCAGGCCCCTCTGGGACCAGATGCTATGGCACTGTGAATCTCAAGTTCTGCCTGTTATGAATACGTTATGTTTTGGTCCTAACGGGTAGTTGAAAGTAGTACATCCTAAACTTAAGGGACATTTAGGAAGTTTGTGGACATGTTTTTAGTGGTAACATGGTGATAGTTTTATCATCCAAAAGTTCCATTTCATTGCAGAAGAATAAAAGGGGCGTTAACAGACATTTATACAACGAAGGGTCAGATATTCCTACAAACAGGTATTTATATGATAACGGGTTCGAGAGGTTTGGAAACCGCTACCCTACGGGGTCGCTAGTGATGCAAACAGTAACAGCACTATTACAGTTACAGTGCTGAGTTGCTAGACCTCAGTTTAGAGAATATCAGCAGAGGGGCGCTAAGGGTTCTTTGACCTGTGTCCCGTTACCACATGAGCTGAAAAGTAGGAACCAGGGCCGAGACTGGTGGGGCTGCTTGTCATCACAGTTTAGGAAGTGCTGTCAGGGCCCCTGAGTCCTGCCTCTGGTGACTCGGGGCCTGCTGGGCGTGCTGGCCTTCTGCTGGCTGTGTGACTTCTGCCGGTTGCAGGTAGGATGTCCTTGCTGGCCAGCACATTCTTCTGGGCCCAGTGCGGCAGGGTGTTTGTGGATGGGCTCCTTAAGGAAACCATGTTCCATCAAGCCTGGGCCTTTCAACTATTTGGCAGTGCTGCATGGTGCCTTTAGGAGTTGCGACACCAGCTCAGTCTGATTCTCCCCAAAACAGGATATTATAAGCAGCAACAGTGTTATTTAGGGTGAAAGTCGTTCTGAAATGATGGCAAGGAGGACGGCACACACCGTGTACCCGACACTGTTAGTGCTCCGGTACTCATCAGAACACCGTGGTTGCTGGCGCTTTAGCTTGAACGCAGGAAGGCTGGAGGAGTTACGTTGTCGGGTTGCACAACGGCTGAGTGGTCGGGGCAGGGTCTGAACACGCCTCTCACTGAGACGACTGTGCTTTTAATCAGCCTGTTGGTCTCTCTAACAAATTCTGAACCACTGGATATGGGGAGGTGATGAACTTTGGACGTTTTTGATTCTGTGTTTATCCAATAAAAAAGAGAACAAAAATAAAACATTAAAAAGTAAACAAAAAGTTAGAATGAAGCCCAAAGACAAAGAAAGGTGGAAAATGTAAGGGACATACGTGACCAGTAAGAAGGTAAGTAAATACACGTAATCGGCATCAGAGGAGGAGAGAGAGAGGGCAGACACAACCCAAATTCCAAATAGCCTTGGGCTTGCAGAACCCCAAGCCCAGTGAAAGTGTGGCCATGGGTCCTACAGGTCCTGCGCGGACGTCCGGGGGCTGTCGTCCTCGGCCGGAACAGGCAGCCTCTCATCTGCTCGCTGAGGAAGCCGTTCGGGGTCAGAAGAAAAACACGATTCTCTTGAGGATTTGCAGCCTGGATCCTTTCCCATACGTATTTTTTCCTCTGGTAGAGTTCAGGGATACAACGACTGTTCATTCCAGTCAGAAAGTTGGCAGCTTGATCAATGATTTCCTGTACCTTGATGATAAATGGTTTTCCTATTTAAGAGATAAATTTGTATTTTGAAAGTTCAGTGCCCTTTGATATCTCTATAATAGAGCTTCATTCAAATTAGTTTCCTAACTGTGACCTGTTCCAGGGCGGTTGGCCAAAGCAAATTCTGCTAATGAGGAGTAAGAGAAACTTCAGGAAAATCATGTGCTCCTCCACTTAAGCGTAGATGAGGATGTAGCGATCCTCTAGTCCAGCCTGTTTGTTTGTAGATCGGGAAATGGGGAGCATGTCCAGGATCACGTCGCCAGTTCTTCTCTGAAATCACGTCGCTCTCTTCTCTGAAATGACCTCCACTAAAGGGTGTGAGGACAGTGTCAATACTTTTTTTCAAAAATTGTCACGTAAAAAACTTGTCAAGACAAAGCCTAGTGCATGCTGGGCTGGGAGGTTGTTGATGTAGATAGTATCAAAATACTTTGGAAAACAAAACCTTTAAGTTTTGTGTGCCGCACGTATTAGGACGTTTTTTCTTTTAAACTGGGAAATTTTTGGTTTGTTAATGTCTCTCCTCTTGTAAAAGCCATTCACGTTCACCTGGTGGAAGGAGTGTTGACAAAGTGTGTCCCGTGGGCCAAGTGGATCTTGTTTGTGCAAATCAAATTTTACTGACACACAGAGTTTAGGACCTGCAAAACCTAAAATACACTCTGATCCTTTGTAGAAAACATTTTTCAAACCCTGCCATGGAACATTGAAAAAGTACAGAAAATTAACACCAGGAGAAGGATTACCCACGTCACCATCAGAGACTTAGGTTGATTCTAATGTTACAGTTCTTGTGGGTAAATGTCTTGAAAAATCTCTGATTATTTCCTGCGAATAAATTCCTAGAAATGGAATTACTGAGCCAGTGAGTGTGACTGATAGTTAGGCCCTTGGTTCTAGTGCAGAATTTCTCCTCGGCTTACGCAAATAGCAGAGCCCGTACCTCCCCAACATTAAGCAAATAAACAAGAACTGCTTTGCTAACGGGTTTGGTTTTGCTTCTGTGGATTCAGGGGCAGGTTCAAGGCAGTGGTCTGCGTCCTGTCTGCGGTTACAACCTGCCTGGCGTTTGTCAAGCCCGCCATCAACAACATCTCTCTGATGACGCTGGGTGTGCCCTGCACGGCGCTGCTCATCGCGGAGCTGAAGAGGTAGGTGCCGGTCCTCCTGCTGAGCCCTGGGCTGTCCCGAGCTCCGCGTTCCTTTGCTGTCCTCCAGCCTGGAAGAGGACCTTTATTCTGACTGTTAGACTGGAACAGGTTGGATGGTTTGGTTCAAAGTGTTACTGGCCTCATTTTCAGCTGTGGTGCATCGTAGTGATCCAAAGCAAGCTCATCGGGAACGTCTCGGTGCAAATGAGCTGCTAGACTTTTCTGTAGAAAGGAAGGAAGGTAGATTTGTCCATATGACAGAAATAAAGGGAAAGTCGTAGAGAGGTCATTGCATTCGTAGAGGGAAGGACAAAGAGGAAGGAGGCAGAGAAAGTGCGTTTCTATGTACCGGGATACACTAACCTCAAGCAGACATCACTGAAGGTGAAACTCTCTGAGGCTTAGTGCCTCAAAGGGCTCAGGTAAAGCCCTTGCTACCGACGGGAACATTTTCCTTTGGGCAGTTGTATGTACATAGTTCAGGTTGATGCCAGACACACTGCAGTTAAGCGCTTGTGTATACAAGTTTGTCTTCTACCTCCAACTAAAATATGAGTAGTCACTACCCTTATTTTAATATCTGTTGAAAATATTTCTTTCTTTCTTTTTTTTTTTTTTTTTGCAGCCACCTTAAAACTGCATTTAGTCCCTTCCTTTCTCGTTGTGGACGTTGAGTGTCTTGGTTGAGGTCTTGGATCTGTTTCCCTGTGTGTGATAATTGCTCTGTGTAATGTGTTAAGTCAGCCTTCTCTCCTAGTTTAGGAAGAGATAGACATTTCTGCCCAAGTGCTTTACCTCTGGGGGTTGTTTTGATTGTCAGCAATAGCAGTCAGGCCCAGAGATGACCAAAGAGGTATTTGAGCTTGCTGCTGGCCAGGGATACATGTCAGGTCTCCTCCAGTTAGGTAGTGTCTTTGAGAAACCTGCAAGAACTGGGGATGTAAGAGATTCATTTCAGAAACAGGCTCAGATTGGTCCTAGAAGAATAACTGTCACAGCGAATCCTTCTGAATAAAAAGACAGTGTGTGAGAAATAGTTGAATAAAACCGTAAACAAAACAGACTCCCCAGAACCTGCCTGGCTGATTGTATCTGGTCCATCTGAGAAGAGCAGATCTAATCTAAACTGCACATCTCAGGCGCGAGGATATTTAGCTTTCTGGAGGAAGCCCCTTACTTCTGGGTAGTAATTTGGAATCTGTGATTGTAAAGAGATATACAGAGGGGGAATTTGTGGTCTTTAATAAACAGCCGGTCATCTTATCACCCAGCAAACGAGCGCTCTGCTTAGTGCTTCATGTCTAAAGTCATATATTTTCATCTCGCATGTTTTTCTCAGAGAAAGTTTTCACGAAAGCTCCATTGCTGTCTTCACATGGTCTCTCTTTCACTGATCTAAGGCTCTGCCATGACCAAAGGCTGAGGTGGATCCTCTTCTGTGGCTGTAGCGGCAGATTTGCTAGCGCTGAGCATGGTGTCGCCTGCAGCCACGTGGCATTTACCCTCCGTCTTCCTGCGGCTGGGCATCTCGAGAGTTTTCTCTGCCTGTCACCCTTGGCCCTTAGCCTTGCATTCTAGATCTCTAGTGATCTGCTCTCCTCCCTGTCTTTGTTCTGAAATTTCCCTCACTGGTTTCTAATGGCCCTTTCAAAAAACATCTAATTTTGGTCAGTTGACTTATATTTTATTGTAGAAAAATTGGAGAGTACAAGCAAAAAAGGAAATAAATTAATCACTTATTAAACACAGCTAATATTCGGCAGCGATGCATGGTTCCTGGCACTAAGTGAAGGTGACAGAACAGGCCGTCTGATGTAATGACCTTTTGCTGTATGTTCTGTCAGGCTTTTGTTGTTTTTGCTGTCTTACCTTTATAAGAAACCTAGCTCTGTAGCATACATTTTTATTCAAGTGAGGTTTTATTTTTTTCTTCAATGAGATTTTATTGTGCATCTTAGATATACATAACGATCACATTCACGATAGAGAATTCGTACCTGTACACAACAGAACTTGATTCATTTTTTTGCTCTTCTCCTCCCCTCCCCTCAGTCCCTTCCTCCCCTCCCCACTTACAAAAGCTTTGTTTCCATTTTTACTTCTTTTCTCACAGCTTCGGCGGAATTTTGCTTTGTTTGTGAACTGTGCATCAGGGTCAAACTTGCCGTGGCCGTCTTTCCCACACGAACACGCATGTGGTTGTCTTTTCCAGAATCATGAGATGGATTAAATCCGAGAACTGAGGTACTACTCTACTGTGGTCCTCTTTCTCTGTAAATAAATACACATCTGGGTCTTGTCTTTTGTGGTACTGGGGACTGAATGTAGGGCCACGGTTCTGGGAAAGAAGTCCTCAGGCCAGCACCCTTCCTTGTTTGTGAAATGTCTTGCTAAAAGCTGCCCAGGTTTGGCTTGAAATTGGGACCCTCCTGCCTCAGCCTCCTAGAGGGCTGGGACTCAGGTGCGTGTCATCTCGCCCAGTTTAGATTCTCACTTTTAGTAACATACAGAATCCTAAGTTACTGGTATATTAAAGTTAGTCCCCTGAGTCTCTTTCTGAATGTGTAGACCGTGGTTTTTCACTGCTGTGAGCACTTCTTTGCGGAGTAGTCCTGTGTATTTTTGTGCGATCATTATTTCTGTAGGCTGCAGTAACAGCCTTTTAGCTTCCAACCTGACAGCCGCTGTCCAGGCGCAGGCATCCTTGCCGTGTCCGAGCGTCCGGCGCCCTCGCCCTCGCCCGCTGTCTCCCTGCCCTCCCTCCTGGTCCTGTGCGGGCCTGGCGGCTGCTCCCCACAGTCCCTGCCCTCCGAAGGCAGCTCTCCCCAGACCGTCTCCAGCCCTTCCTCTGTTCCTGAAGGTCTCACCACCCCCACTGCGGCTGGTCTCGGCGCTGCTCCCAGCCCCTCCGTCCTCCGCGCTGTCTCACGTTCCTGCTAGACTTCTGCCTCCCTCCCAGGCGCAGCCTGGGGTCCCCGCGCACGCCATGCCCTGCTGCCCGCCCCTCCTCACTCTGCCCCACCTCAGGTGCCCGGGCTGCTTTAATGGCGTCACTCTGCTCAGGCTTGAAGGCCCCGGTCACACCTCTCCTGCCACCCCCAGTGGCGGCTGAGACTCACAGGCTCCGTGTCCGTGCCGTCCCGTCCGCCCCTCCGCGCACGGCTGCTGTCCCTCCCCCTGCTTCCTCTGCCCGAGTTCTCTTCCCCGAGAGGCGTCTCTTTCACGTTGCTTCCTCATCCCTGTGCAGAGACCTTCAACGGCTCCTCCTCGTCCGGGCTGCTCTTGGAGCTTCTTCTGCGTCCGGCTCCGGTTGAGCGCCCCGCGGCCGGCTCCCTGCACTCGTGTCGTTAGTCCCGGCCTGTCCTCCCCTCCCTGGGCTGCCCTTCCCACCACTGCCCGCAGCCTTCCCTGCCCCGACAGTGCCCCTCCTGTGGCCCTTCCCCCTCCCCCGGGCACCTGTGCTCTTCTCTTCGGAGATGCTCTGTGCTTTTATATTTTATTTAGGATATTGTCCTTTCATAGCCGCATGTCTTTGTCTTCTTTTGTTCCTCTAACATGTGTTCTCCAAAGGCAGAAGTTACACTGTGTTGATCTGTGAATTTTCCACAGTGCCATTACCTTTGAAAGTTCAAAAGCCTCTGTTTCCGCTTATTGTTTGCCAGGTACCCCTAACTTTTCCCGTTACAGAATCAAAGAGGCTCTTTGAGACTCCATCATTCAGTGGAGGGCACAGAAGGAACTTGGCCTTGAGTTTGGGTCTTGGCTCTGCCTTCTCCTGGCCTCAAAACTCAAGGTGTTTTCTTCACTAGCTTGGGTCTCGTTGTCCCTGCCGTAAGTGGCTGATAATAACGCTCGGGTCGTGTAGAACTGCAGTGAGGACTGAATAACATACTTAGCCTGGTACCGTGTCTGTCACGCGGTCGATGCTCATCAAATGCGCCATTCCTTACCCTTTTCTGCCGCTCTGTTCCGGCAAGGACAGAAGTCATCCTAAGGAGAGGTGCACGCCTCTTGCTGTTTCACTCCCTCTTCCAAGGATTCCAGCTTTGTTATCAGGGAATCCTCCCTCATGTGCCCGGGTGGAGATGGAGCTGACTGGTCCGCAGTGTTCATGGGCCTGCTGGGACTGGCGCCTGAGCGTTTGGCCCTGTTTCACCTTCCCTCTGACAGACCCTGGACATTAGTAGATCTTCGGGCTCTTAGGAAAGCACATTGTGCGTTGCCGGTGAAGACATCTGAAGGGGATTTTCATTTGTATCATTCAGCTCAGTGGAGGTGGCTTATGTTGGACGTGCAGTGAATAAACTGTTCTGGATTTAGTTGTGTTTCTTGAGAATTCATGATAGTGTAGTTTCACTTTAATTCTTGAGTCTGATTACATACTTCAGCTTGTAATTTCGTTAGAAATAGCTTAAGGGAAAATGTTTGAAGTTCATGATACCTAATTGGGAGTCAAGTAGTTAGGGTTGCCTGTTACACAGTCTAAATAAATTATACTTTGCGGGCTGGGGATTTCACTCAGCGGCACAGCGCCTGCCTGGCAAGCACAAGGTTGTGAGTTTGATTCCCGGTACCGGAGAAACCCCCCCCAAAAAAATAAATAAATAAATTATACTTTCCAGTTATGATTTTTCAACAAGGACACATTTTCCTTTAGTACTCAAATCTTTGTAGATAATTATGAGGGAAGTAATTTCTGTTCCTGTTCAGAATCTTCTGCCTGGGAGAAGCTGGCTGTCACAAGGGCTGGCTGACCTTGATGAACACGCTCCAGTGCTGGGAGGTGGGCTCCCGCCCAGCGAGGACCAGCCTTTCCTCCCGTGTCCCCTCCATGCTGCTGTCCACATCGTGTCTGTAAGCTGGTGGCTGTGTTAGTGTCCCTCTTGGAAGGGGACGTCCTGCCAGCTGCAGACCCGCTGGGTGCCTCTCCCCCTCCAGGACCTGCAGCGCTCAGCCCGTCCCCAGCACTGTCCCTCACAGCCAGACTCCTCCAAAAGCTGGGTTGGCCCTCGCCTCTCAGCTGCTCTTCAGGCTACTCCATCTTGGCTTCTGCTCTCACTTAAAACCCAAAACTCCCCTGAGAACGTTGCAGGTCCGAGCTTCAGGCCGCGGTAACACAGGTGGTGTCCTCAGGTGGCCTGCGGCCCCGCCCTTGCAGCCCTCTTTCACGGGCTCGGGTGATCGGGTGACAGGGCCCGCCTGGTTTCCTGCCGCGCAGGTTCCCTCCGCAGCTTTCGTGCAGGGTCGCGAGGGTTTAGCCGCAGCCTCCGCTCGCCGTGGGCCGAGTGTGTGTGTGCCAGGGACGCGTTACGCCTGACCACCAGGCTGATAGCGTTGGAGGTGGGGCAGTGACTAGGTCACGAGGGCAGAGCCCTCTTTAATGGGTCTCGTCCCCTGATAAAGGCCCCAGAGAGCTGCCTCCCCCTTCCAGCACGGAAGACACAGCGGAGGCCGTGACACCACCAGACACCGAGCTGCTCACGCCTTGGTGCTGGACTTCCCAGCCACCTGACCATGAGAAATAACTTCGTTGTGTGTAAGCCACCCGGCCTGTGGAGTTTTGCTGCAACAGCCTGAGCAGGCTCAGAGCTGCTTTCCTCCTTTATCCTTCACCCTGAAAGATCTCATCTGCTGCCACGGCTTGGACCACTGTCCGCACGCAGGGGACCCCAGGCTTCTGTGCCCAGTGCCTTCTTCAGCTGCCCTCGTCCGACTGCTGGCCGGCCTCTCTGATTCCGCATGAGCATAGACGTCCAGCACTCCACTCGTCCAAAGCCAGGCTCCCGCGCTGCCTGCCCCACTCTGATCCCCTTCGTAATATTTCTGGCTGCAGTGAAAGGAACAGCCTTCACGTCGCTGCTGAAGCCAGAAACCGGCTCCCCGCTCCGGCGTCCCATTTGATCTCAGTCATTTTCTCAGTGGACGTTGCGGTTAGGACGAAGTTCAGCAGGCCGACTCACCTGTCTGCCCCGTACAACCGCTGTCCCCCTCGTGGAGCTCCCCTCTGCCTGTCCTCTGCCGTCTGACTTCCACGTCCTCACAAGAGCCCAGACTTCAGCCCTGGCTCAGGCGCTCTGACCCTCGCTTGGCTACGTGCCGCTCATCCTCCAGTTCTGGGCTCCCGTCCGTGCTCTCTCGTCACCTTGAACTACTCTGTGTCACTGTCCTGGCCCTAACTACAGAGTTGCTTGTGTGACTGCCCCACTCCGGGCCTGCTGCTCCGCTGGACGCGGGCTGTGCCCAGCCGCCTCCCCTGGTCCAACGGGGAAAAAGAGAGAAGGCTGTTTCCCTGCTTCGATAAACTCCCCACCGAGGGGGCCTTGGCACCCGCATCTCCTCCCAGCGCCTTCCATTTGCCCTTCGCGTGACCCAAACCCGCGAGCCCGGATGTCCCCGTGCGCCTCCTTGGCCCGGAGAACACGGAGGAGGGACTCGGCTCTGCGATTCTCTTCAGCCTTCATTCCTGACGCTGGGCCTGGTCTTTTACATTTCCATCCTTTCCAAACCTGTCAGCCTGCAGAACACAGACCTCTATTCTGATTCTGGGTCATGACCTGGCGTTTGCTAAAATTCGTGGCAAGTCATTGCGAAGAGATTCGGCTGCATTTAAAATATTTTAAAATGTGCTTTTTCTGCTGGTAAGAGTGATTTTACTAAGAAAACACTTGGAGACTATAATAAAGGGGCAAGAAGAGAGGAAGTAGGCTTTTCTCAGACTTTTCCGTCCTATGATAGGGTCCTGTTGTGTGTATGATTTTTGCCCTGCCTTTTTAAAAAAGATGTTTTGATAAAGACCTAAGCATGATACTAAAACCTAATGCAGGGGCAGGTGGAGCAGGTGTGGGGGTGATGCTGGGGAGTTGGGGAGAGTGTGACTCCTGGCGCGCTGAGCTGGTCTCACAGCATGGGGGACGCTGTGAAGCAAAGGAGGAAGTCGGGAGCGTTTCATCGGAAATAGGGGGAAGAGTGGCTCCTGAGTTTCCAGGGGGGTCCCGAGAAGGTGCCCGCGGAGGCCGTTTGTCAGAGGTGATTCACACAGCAAAGTCACAACCTGGGTGCGCCCGGGTATAGTCAGCCTGTGGGATTGCCAGGATAGCGGCCTAGCTAGTACTGATCCAGTGGGGAAACGAGTCCTGCGGCAGGGGTGCAAGGAAACAACAAAGGCGTTCTGGGGAAGAGGTGGTCCGGATGTTTGGTCACCCACTAAGGTGTCCTACCCCAGCTGGGCTTACTGGGCCAGGTGCTGCTAATGCGGTACCACCCTCAGTTACTGCGTTTCCCTTAGGGCGCCAGTGCGCCTGGCCATTGTCTCCAGCCGCGGCTCTGAGGACTCCTCTGTGCTAACTTGCTCGAGGGCCCAGTCCCGTTTGTGTCCCTTGGCTGCTGTAGTAGTGGTGGGGACCCGGGTGGCGCTGGGAGAGACAGATTTGGGATGGGGGAGGGACTGGCTGTGAAGTGTGCGAGAAAGGGTGAGACTGCAAGCAGGTGGGTTTGGGGCAGGTCTGGGGTGTCCACGTGCACGAGGGGGGCTGGTCTCTGATCTAGGGTGTCCACGTGC